GTAGGGGGGGGGGTAGGGTTCGCATGTGGCCCCCGATCGTTGTCGTCGCCATCGCGGACTGGAGTGGGTGAGACCGAGGGCGGGGTGCCGATGCCGCCGCCATTCCCTTGGGGCCACGGCCGGAGTCGCCGCGGAATCCTGGTCAGAGGGCGCTCCAGGAGCAGCGGTAGTGGCATCTGTCTGTTCCCCCCGTCGGGGGAGGAGGAGGAGGCACTGAGAACGAGGAGGAGAAGGGGAGAGGCCCCTCCCGTTCTCCTCCGCGTCCCTGTCTGCCCGTCCCCCTCGTCGCCCCTCCGCCCCTCTCGCCCCTCCCCCCCAGGGGGGACCGACCAGTCCGTGTCCCTGTCGCGCTGGCTCCTAGGCCCACGGGCGGGGCGCTCACGCGACGGGGTGTCTCCGTGGCCCGTAGGCCGACCCCGCTACCACGGCCCAGCGGGATCATCGCTCCCCGCATGGGGAGCAAGATGGTGCCGATACTGCGCTCGAGGGAGGGACGACTGCATGGGGTCGGAGGATCGAGCCACATCGCCGATGCATCGTCGATTCGGCTCCATGCGGAGCCCGATTTTCTCCACGCCGACGTCGCTGATGCATCCCCGACGTCGACGGTGCATCGCCGATACATCGTCGATGCATCGGGGATGTATCGGCGATGCGGCGTGATCCTCCGAACCCACCTACTCGGACCCCATCCAGGAGGCCGCTAATGAGCATCATTAATTGACGGTCCGCGCAGATTTCTTGGGTCCGCGCTAGACCACCCAAGCGGCTCCTCCGGCGCCGCCCCTGGCGCGCTCCGCGCGCCATCGAGGGGGGTTCGGCGCAGATGTAAGAATTTCGCGCGGACCGTCGGAAGTTTGTGTTTCTGCCGTGTGTCCTTCCTTTGTGTCCTTCCTTTGTGCGCGCACCGCACCCGCGGCGCGTTCTGAGCAGGCTTCAGCGGCGACTCCAGCCGTCGCGACGAGGGATGGCGAGCGGTCTCGGCATCGTTCCCGTCCCTGCCCCCGCCCCTCGGCCGCGAGGGCTGCCTGCAGAAGGGGGGGGGTCCTTTGGATTCCCTGAGGGGGGCCCGTCGGGACCCCCAAAGGGGGCCTTCTGGGGGGGCCGAAACAGGCACCTTCTGCCCCCACTCATCGCCCCCCCACGGGTTCACGCCCGAGCATGCTTCGAGCCGGACCGATCGGCAGAGGGTCCCAGGGGCCCGGAGCAGTGCGAAAACGCCGGGCGGCACGAAATTGCGACGCCAGGATCTCGGGGATGCCCCCTCCTTCTTCTTCGACCCCCCCCTCGTCGACCTCCGAGAAGGGGAACGCTGTGAGCAACTCAGCCTTTTTTAAGGAAGGAAGAACAGAAGAGAGGAGAGTGAGGTGAGAGAAGCCGGGCGAGGTGGAAGTGTGTGTTGGCCGTTTTGCTATCTGACCCAAAGAGCGCTTCAATTTCAATTGCTCCGTGTAACCAGTGCCCCAGAACGCCACGTGGTTACAACACCAAAGGGCGGCGCACTCAAAGCGGTGAAGAAAGGTGGCTCAACAGCGCGCAGGTTTCTTGATGACGGCCTTCTTGGCCGCCGCTCGCTGAGCCGCATTGCGGCGCCTGCGAGGGAAGGAAGGTCGTGCCTGTGATGATCTCCTTGCGACTGCTCCAGTGACAGATGATCTTCTTCAACCACAGGCGTTGGGAGCTCGGTCGCACGTTGTCCATGAAGAAGTTGAAACGCTTGATGAAGAAAGAAGTTGGATTGCTCTACGCACGACGTGCTAATCTTGTCTTCTTGAGTTGCTTCTGCGCAGCCGGGGTGACGTTGCAGCAGGTGCTGTCGTGCGCATGCACCATTGCTTAATGCAGCAGCAGAACTGCTTATGCCTGTTCTGGGCCTAAGCTTTGAACGATCACATGCCATTGTGCACAAACACATCAGGACAAACGCCGTTGAGCTTGCAAGCCGCCTTGATGCACTGGTGTTTGTCCTTCTGGCACTCGTTGCTGACGTGCTCCACGGCGGCTGGCACGTCAGCGCGCTCCCCTCCCAGCAGCAAGTGCAACCCTCCTGTGCGGTTAGGCTTGCGCGCTCTGTCCGGATGCATGGGCGCGCACGGAGCCACCCGTGCTTCGCGCTCGGCCATCTTGAAGTTCTCGTGGCTCACGTGCCAGCGGCGTGGTGTGCTCGTCGGCATTGCTTTCGGGCGCACGAAGCACGCCGAAGGGCATCACAGGCCAGACATATGAGAAACGCGCTAGTGCAGGCGAGGGAGCGGAAGGAGGTGAACGAGGAGGAGGTGGAGGAGGAGGATGAGGAGGAAGAGGAGGAGGAGGAGGAGGAGGAGGAAAAGGAGGAGGAGGAGGACTAATAATAATAATAATACTAATAATAATAATAATGGTAATAATAATAATAATAATACGAATAATAATAACAATAATAGTATGAATAAGAAGAATAAGGATAATAATAAGAAATATAATAATAAAAATCAGAAGAAGAAGAAACATAAGAAGGATACGAATAATAATAATAAGAAGAAGAGGAGGAGGAGGAGGAGGAGGAGGAGGAGAGGGAGAGGATAAAATGAGCAGGAGAAGTATGGATGAGAAGGAGGAGGATGAGGAGGAGGATTAAAGGAGGAAGGGGGGCAGGAGGAGGATGAGGAGGGGGAGGAGGAAGGGAACAAGGGGACTGGCACAGAGGAACCCGCAGGATTACTACACGAAAATAGCGACAGGTCTCAGACACAGAAACGGAAATTGCTGTCAGATTGGGGGAAAAAACAATACCAATGCATTGGCAGCATCAATTTCGGTGTTTGGGGCAGGCCAGTCGGGGGGAGGGGCAGCAGAAGTTTCGTATCAGTTTGTTGTCGATGTATCAAGGTCAGTCGACATGTTCACCTTGATGTTAATTAATTAATTAATTGATTAATTGGTTAATTAATTAATTCATTCATTCTATATATATAAATAAACATAAACGTATTTTAGATATTGCTACTGCTCCTCGGCCTGATTCAATCTGATCCAATCACCCCCATTACGATACGAGAGCACGGCTTCTTGAGTCTCGGGTTGTTGCGTCGTCCCTTTTTATGGGCTGGCTATCACATGCATGCGTATCCACTGATGTGTATTTGACCAGAGAGAGAGAGAGAGAGAGAGAAAAAAAAAAGAGAGAGAGAGTCATACATACATATATATATATAGAGATATATAGATATATAGAGAGAGGGAACAACACTATAACAGCAACGAAAGGGGGAGCATGAGGAACTGCTGCTGAAGCGGTGCGGGAAAGAGAGCAATGATGAGCTCGGCGGTATCCCCGAGGTCCTCACAGCGCTACTTCCCAGGCCCCCCCCTGTCGTCGACCTCCGGCCACCTCTGCCCCCCCTCCCCGTCGACCTCCGGCTCCCGCTCTCTCTCTCTCTCTCCCTCGGCGTTCGCGCGCCTTCACGGGGGACGACCTAAAATTTCAGGTCGAACCTAAAGTACTTCAGGTCGCCCTGGAGCGTTTTAGGACAAACTCGCCCGACCTAGTTTTTTTAAGTCAGAGACCCTCCAGGCCCTCCCCGTCGACCTCCGGCTCCCGCTCTTTCCCCCCCCCCTCCGCGGGCAGAGCGGGCCTCGCGCCGCGCCCCCGCATGGCGCTGCCCGGCTCCCCCGGCGGCAACGGCGTTCGCCTCCGCCGGGCCGCGGGCCGGGCCGCGCTCAGCCCGCGCACCGCGCGCTCCGCGCGGGGCGCTCGGAACGCGCCGACGGGCACCGCCGAGCCGCGCCGGCGTGGCGGGCGGAGAGGCGGCGGTGGCCACGGCGGTCACGGCGGCGGGCGGCGGCGGGCGGCGGCGGCGGCGGCTGCCGCGGCGGCCGCGGCAGCGGCGGCGGCGGCGGCTACGACCGCTGTTGCAGCGAAGGCAGCGACCGCAGTAGTGGCGGCACAGGCGGCGGAGAGGGGGGAGGGAAGGGGAGACAAGGGGGGAGGAAGGAAAGGAGGAAAAGGGGGAGAGAGGAGGAAGAGGAGGAGGAGGAGGAGCAGGAGGAGGAGGAGGAGGAGGAGGCGGAGGAGGAGGAGGAGGAGGGAGGCGGAGGAGGAGGAGGAGGAGGAGGAGGAGGAGGCAGGGGAGGAGAAGCAGGAGGAGGCGGAGGCGGAGGATGGTTGGATAGCGCTTAAATGGGCAATTGTGTGCTGGCCAGCAGTCCACCAGCTGGCGAAAGAGATGAACTCCAGCTTAGGTCCCTGTGAAATTTTGAGCTTCTGGCCAGGCTCCCGACCGCCCCGCTGCCAAGGCTCACTGCTGCTTGGCCTCAGCTGGAAACCTGGGGGCAGAGGCAGCGGGGGAGACGGAGGGGGATGAGAAAGGGAGGGAAAAGGAAAGATGCTTGTCCGGCGGCGCCTCCGCCGCTTCTCTGCGTTCACCGAGCCGCTCACTCACATGACGAGACGAGACCGCACGCTCCGACCCAAGGCTCCGCCTGCAGGTCGGGACCCTGGAACACCCTCGTCGGCACAGGCGGGTCACCTGGCCCGAGAATTCGAGGCCCGAAAACCATCACGTCACTAATTTTGGGCCCCAGGGCCCACTGAGGCCCCAGAGGCCCCACATTAGTGAAGTGATGTTTGTTCCCTCGCGAGGACCCCGAAATTCATCACTTCACTGAACGGAACCCAGGACGAAAGTCAGGGGCCGAATTTCTGCTGTGAAGCAACATAGGTCTCGTAGAGAATTAGTTGTCACGTCACTACCCCAGGGCCCACTGAGGCCCCACCCCCACAGCTTCATCACTTCACTGAACGGAACCCAGGACGAAAGTCAGGGGCCGAATTTCTGCTGTGAAGCAACATAGGTCTCGTAGAGAATTAGTTGTGCCACGAGACACCCCCACAGCTCCCCGGCCCAAGGGGGACCAGGTGGCGTGAATACATAAGCCTCCCCCGACCACGATGTGGTAGGAGGGGACCCGAGTGTTGAGACTGACCCCGGGACGGACAGGACCCCCAGCGTTTAGCGAACAGCACCAACCAGCCTCCGCCGAGGATGGATTATGCAGGCTCAAGTTTCCCCAGGGAGCCGCGCGGGTGCTGCTCCAGCCCGGCGACCTCTACCTTGGGGGCGGGAGGAGGAGGAGGAGGAGGAGGAGGAGGGAGGAGGAGGAGGGAGGAGGAGGAGGAGGAGGAGGAGGAGGAGGAGGATGGGAAGGGGGAGGAGGAGGAGGGAGGGAGGAGGAGGAGGAAGAGGCGGAGGCGGAAGGAGGAGAGGAGGAGGAGGAGGAGGAGGAGGAGGAGGAGGAGGAGGAGGAGGGAGGGTCAAGATGAAATACAGGGCATGGGGAGTACGGAGACAGATGTGGCGGATGAGGTACAGGAATTTCGCGGGAGAGGAAGAGAAAGGAGGAGGTTGCGGTGGCGTCCTGCATGGACCAACATGTGGTTCACGTTATATTGTTTTCACTCTGATGTTCTTATCCTTCGTCTCTCCACCTCGACTCCGTCCGCATCCTCGACCTCGCTATGTTCTTTGTCATCTTGTTTGATATGTTGATTTCCAGGTGTTCTCCCTTCTCGGTATCCAGTTGCCTGCGGCAAGTCCCGCCTCCGTGCCAGTCCAGCAGTCTCAGTGGCAGCTGTTCGAAACGATCGGGGCGACACTGATGTTGATGACGATGAAATCATGAAGAGGATGATGAGAGGATGACGATGATTGTGGCGGGCGATGTGGGCAAATGTCATGATCGTGATGTTGATGGTGATGACGATGCTGATGACGATGCGATTGATGAGGAACATGAGCCGGACGAGGACGAGGATAGTTGTGATGATCATGTTCACGACGATGGTGAGGTTGGTAATGGTGAGGGGTGAGGGTGATCGTGATGGTGGTGGTGACGACGAACACGACGATGATGATGATGATGATGATGATGATGATGATGATGATGATGATGATGATGATGATGATGGTGATGGTGATGGTGATGGTGATGGTGATGGTGATGGTGATGGTGGTGCTGGTGGTGATGATGATGAACCAAGATCAAGATGGTGATGATGGTGATGGTGATTATGATGATACGGATGATGACGATGATGGTGATGATGATGCTGATGATGATGGTGGTGTTGATGATGATGACGATGTTGATGATGATGCTGATGATGCTGATGATGATGATGCTGCTGATGATGGTGGTGGTGAGGATGTCGATACTGATGTTGATGCTGGCGCTGATGGTGGTGAGGCTGCTGCGTATGATGATGTTGATGATGCTGTTGGTGGTGATGATGATCACCATGAGGATGAGGATGAGGATGAGGATGAGGATGAGGATTATGATGCTCATGCTCATGCTCATGCTCATGCTCATGCTGATGATGATGATGACGATGATGAAGACGACGATGATGAAGACGACGATGATGATGATGCTGATGACGAGGATGAAACTAACGAGGACGATTGGCAGGAGCAGCAGGAGGAGGAGGAGGAGGAGGGAACAGAGGATAGCCGTCACGTGTAACACCTTTCGTCTGCACATCTCCAGGAGCTATCATGGACCCCATATGGGCCGTCTTGGGGCTGGCCTCGGCTCCTGCGGGGCAGTCTTGGGGGGTTGGGGGTTTCGGTCCTGGGCCCTGTCACAGCTGCCGCCTGGGCCCGGACTCTTTGAAGCCTTGGCCCAGGTGGCTTTTGGGTGCACAGTGTATATATATAGATAGATAGAAAGATAGATATGTTTATATGCATGCACACATAAACATCTACATATATGACGCACCGTGTGTATATACCAAGATGAATGCATACATACAAACAAACATACATACATACATGCATACATGCATGCAGGCATGCATGCATACATACATGCATACACATATACACATATACATACATACATACATACATACATACATACATGCATACATACATACATACAGACAGACAGACAGACAGACAGACAGACAGACAGACAGACAGACAGACATACATACATACATACACACACATACATACATACATACATACATACATACATACATGCATACATACAGACAGACAGACAGACATACAGACAGACAGACAGACATACAAGCATGCATGCATACATACATACATACATACAAACACACATACATACATACGTACATACATATATACATACACACATACATACATACATACATACATACATACATACATACATACATACATACATACATACATACATACATATATGCATACATACATACATACATACATACATACATACATACATACATGCATACACACATACATACACACATACATACATACATACATACATACATACATACATGCATATATATATATATATATATACATATATATATATATATACATAGAGAGATGTTCACATACCCTCAGCATCCAGGGCCCCCGCGCGCGCGGCCGCCCCTCCCCGAGGGCCTCCGCGAGGGCCTCTTGGTGGGCCCGCGCGCGCTCTCGCGCGCGCGCCTTTTTCCCACGAGGTGGAGCGGGCCATCGAGCTGCTGCCCCACGACCTGGCCGTCGGGCGGTCCCCCCCCCCTTCTCCCCCTCCCCTCCTCCCCCTCCTCCTCCTCCTCCTCCCTCCTCCTCCTCCTCCTCCTCCTCCTCCTCGTCCTTTCCTCCTCGTCCTCATCGTCCTCATCGTCTTCTCGTCTTCCTCCTCCTCCTTTTCTCCTCGTCCTCCTCGTCTTCCTCGTCTCCCTCCTCTCCTCTTCCTCGCTCGCTCGCTACTTAAGGCTACACTCCTCCTCCTCCTCCTCCTCCTCCTCCTCATCCCTCCTCCTCCTCCTCCTCTTCCTCCTCCTCCTCCTCCTCCTCGTCATCCTCCTCCTCCTCCTCCTCCTGCTCCCCCCCCCGCCGACGGGCGGCGGCGGCCGACGGCTGGGACGGCGAGGGCGACAGCCTCGGCGATGGCCCATCGCCGATCATATACATGAGCGATGCATTGCGCATAAATGGGCTATTCGGCCCCCGTGGAAGACCCCCTGTTGCAGGCCCCTTCTCGCACCCTCCAGATGGGGGACGGCGGCGGCGAGCACCGAGATCTCCGACTCGGGACATCTGAGCGACGCAATACACGGGATCGTGTGCGCAGGCGTTCGCGCGCAAGCTGCTCGCGTAAGGTCGCGCGTGAGCGCCCTCGCTTGGATCGTGGCGTGCCGCGCGGGCGGCCGGCGTAAGCCACCGCGTAAGGTCGCTACGTCATCCCGCGTAAGACCCGCTTTCGATCGTTTCTCATCTGGCGTTTCGGAGTTATCGAGACGGAAGTTGTTCATCGTTTTCGGCCTCTCAGGGCCTTTGGTGGGCCTCGGGACCGTCGAAAAACAGCTCGGGATGAAGAGCCGGTCCCAGGGAAGTGGTCGAGAGGTCGGGGGCCCGTGTCCCAAGAGAAAACGGGACGCCCGGGCACGATCTGATTTTAACAGCAAGCGTTTTCTCTTCGATATCGGCCCTCGGGAGCCTTCTGTCGGGCCCCAGGATAATCAAACTATGGTGCACATAGCAGCTGTGGTGCACACAGGCGCCGTGGTGTGCACAAACAGAGTGATGTACAAAGGCGCTGTGGTGCACACGGTTCTTGCGGTGTATACAGCCGCCGTGGCGCACACACATACCATTTCTGCAGTAATTCTGGTGCACAAAGGCATTGTGGTGTACAGAGACCGTGTCGTGTGGACAGGCGCTGTGGGCTTGGACAACGACGACGACAACGACGACGACGACGTGGGCGGCGCGCCTCGGGGGTTGCGCGCCGGGCCCCCGTTGCCGTTCCCCCCCCTGCCCCCCCCCCCAGGGTGACATGTGTTTTCCCCCAGAAATAAAAAATGGTCTCCCTCTCACGCACGCCCTCAGCCTGAAGCCGTAGAGCCCACTGAAACTTGCTAACTACGCTTCCTCCAACCTCATCCTTCGCCTCCCTCCATCTTCCTCACTTATTCCCGCTTTCTCTCCTTCTCCACGATGGTTCGTCATGAATACAGATCCTCCCTGACATCATGCGGGTTTGAGCTCGTCCCTCCCGCGTGTGTCTCTCCCCTTCACTTTGTCCTCCTCCTCCTCCTCCTCACCCTGATGATGGGTCAATGCCTGCAGCTGCCATTCCGGGGTCAACACGTTGTCTAGGATGCCCCGCCCGGTCGGCGGAACAGAACTCAAGGTGTGCAGTCGGATGGGGGCACGATGCCAGACGTGGCGCGAGCGCGCCTGGCGTGTCCTCTCTCCGTTTCCCCCCCTCGAGGAGAGGGAGGAGGAGGAGGAGGAGGAGGAGGAGGAGGAGGAGCCATGATGTGCTGTAGGGCCTCTGAGTGGGGAAAGAGAGAGGGTGCCATGAGGCGCCTCCTGGATGTTCCTCCGTGGGGGCCGTCTCCAGGCTTGCGCGCTCTCCGCCAGCAGGGCCCTCCGTGCAGCAAGTCTGCCCCTGAAGCTGCCCAGACCCAGCCTCGTTTGCTCTCGTAGCACCGGGCGGCTCTGGGTCCGATGGTTCTCTGCTTTGCTCCCCTCCTCCCCCCTCCCGTTCCCCCCCCCTCCTCGTCCTCGTCCTCCTCTTCCCCCCCTGGACGCTTGCTGCAGGTACCGCCGCATGATGCGCGCCTTCGAGATGAACGCGAAGAAGAACCACCTGCCCCTGGAGGCCTCACTCGGGCAGGGCAAAAAGCAGCGAGCGTTTGGGACGGAGATGGGGAGAGAGAGCAGGATATGAAGAATACCAAGAAAAAACTGCTACATAAACATAAGCGTTCGGAGCTCTGCGCCGATTTCCTGGATCGGCGCTGGGCCCCCCCTCCCTGGCGCGCGGAGCGCCCCAGAGGCGGCGCTGGAGGCGCCGCTAGCTGGGCCCCAGCGCCGATCCGAGGAATCCGCGCGGAGCTCCGAAAGTTATGTCTACGCAGTTTTCTTCTCGGCGCAGGTTTTGCTTTTTTGTTTAAAAACAAGACAGGAGCAGGAGGAGGAGGAGGAGGAGGAGGAGGAGGCTGTGGAGAGGGGCGTGAGAGGAGTGGGCGGAGTGGAGGGACGGGAAGGACGGCATGGAGGGAGATGGAGTGGAGGGAGGAGAAGTAAGATCAGACCAGGCAGGTAGAGAGGAGAGGAAAGATGTGGGAGAGGGCGAGGAGGAGAAGGAGGAGCAGGAGGTGAAGGTCAAGGCGAAGGAGAAGGAGAGAGGGGAGCAGGCATCTGGAGGCTGGCTTGGGGCACTCTGGGCGGGGAGTCCTTTGGACCGCGGGGGCGTTGCCTGCAGCGTCCCGAGAGCCGCCTGCCCGCCGGCCAGCCGGAGCGTCCGGTGCTCAGCCTGTCGTGCTCCCGGGGCTGCCTCGAGGGCCCCCCGGCGGGCATCACCTCGAAGGGGCCTCCCTTCGGTACCGTTTATCCGATCCCCATCCCCATCCCCATCCCCTTCGAGGCCCCACCAAATTACCACCCCAGTTGCGGACATTTACCACTCGAAGCCCGAAGGTAACGACCCATATCCCCATCTAGCGGGGTAAATCGGCCAGTGGGGCCCAGGCCACGCTGCTGGTGATGGGGATCGGATAAACGATACTCATCCCTCGGGGGCCAAACAATGGCATCATCATGAATTGTCGGATCGCCGCGCGGATTTCCTGGATCGGCGCTGGCCCCCCCCCCCCCCCCCTGGCGCGCGGAGCGCGCCAGGGGCGGCGCAGACGCCGCCCTGGAAGCCCCAGCGCCGATCCGAGAAATCCGCGCGGATCACCGAAAGTTCATGTTTATGTCATTGTTTGTTCCCCTTCTCCCGCCGGCCGTTGGGCGACCTCGGGGCGACGTCTGGAGCGCGGGAGGGGGGGGGGCGGGCAAGCTTTTTGCACACATAAACTGCATCTCGAATTGTCGGACTCCCTTCCCAGGAGACCCAAGACGGCAGCGGACATCCACATCCGTTATGTTTCGGGTGGGCGGCGACCTTGTTTAACAAAGTTCATGTCGCAGTGGATCGAAGCTCGCGCGGATTTCCTGGATTGGCCCTGCGCCCCCTCTCCCTGGCGCGCGGACCGCGCCAGGGGTGGCGCCGCAAGCGCTGCCCTGGGGGCCCCATCGCCGATCCGAGAAATCCGTGCGGACCTCTGAACATTTATGTTTACATAATTTGTGTTTCCTTTCTCGTCGGCCGTTTGTTTCTTCCTCTATGTGTTGGATCGGCGCTGGGCCCTGCTGGAGACGCTTCTAGCGCCGCCCTTTGCACGCTCCGCGCGCTAGGGTGGGGGGGTCAGTGCCAATCCGAGAAAGCAGCGTGGAGCTCCGAAAGAGAGTCTTTGCTTCCGCCGTTTGGCTTCTCCCTCCAGCGGAGGAGGAGGACGAGGAGGAGGAGGAGGAGGAGGAGGAGGAGGAGCAGGAGGAAGGCAGACGTCTTGCCGGCAGGCGCCTCGGTCTTCGGTCCTGGTTGCTCGGCCGTGCCCTTTCGCTCGTTTCGCTCCGGGTCCCGCGGTCCGCCCCTCTCTGCGGCGCGGCCCCTCGAAGGCCCTCGCTCGCTCGGGCCCTCACGGAGTCAGCGCGTGGACTCGAACCCTGAAGTTGGGCCTGTCCACGCACAAATGCACGCACGAATGTAGTCTTACCCACTCACGAATGCACGCGCGAGTGCAGTCTTGCAAGTACAGTCTTGCCCACGCTCGAATGCAGTCTTGCCGACGGGCGTCGCGGGTGGGGCCCTCGAGTGCCCAGCCTCCCCCCCCCAAGTGACACCCGTCGGTGGACGGAGAGCAAGGCCAGCGCGGTGGGAAGTGGATGGATGGGAGGGGGCAGGCTTGTCAGGCATGGGGCGGCTGCAGCCAGCCTTTCCTCTTCCTTTTCCGGCCCTTCCCCCCTCCTCGCCCCGCCCTTCCCTCTCCCTGCCTCCTCCTCCCCCCCTCCTATGCTCGTCCCTCCCCTCCAACTCCCTCGTCCACCATGCCCTCCCTTCCCCGCCCTGCTGCTTGCTCCCCTCCCGCTCGTCCTGGATGGCCCCTGCATGGGATAGGGTCACGCGATTTGGCGGGTGCTGGCTGTCGACGTCGCCAGGTCCGTTCCACCTGCCCGGTCCTTTCTTGTTGCCTCCTCCGTTGGGCCCTTCCTCTTCCGCGCTCTCTCTTCTCCAACCTCGTGTCTCTTCTCCCCGTCCGCCCCCTCTCCGCCGCGCACTCCTGCTCCGCCTCTTCCCTCTTCCCTCTCCTCTTCCTTCCTCCCTCATCCCTCCTGCCCCCCCCCGTGCCTCCCTCCTTTCCCGCCCAGAGCACGTGACGACTTCCAAGAACTCAGGGAGCCCCCATCATCTTCTAAATCGTCCTTCCTCCCCCCTCGCGCTTCCATGTGCTTCGTCGTGCGTATCCCTCCTCTCCTCTTCACTCCGCATGCGGAGATTTGGACGCGTGGACAGTTTGACTGCTTGACCTGTCCAGGAGCAGAACTACGATCCGATGGTCCCGTACATGGCGCCCTTCATCGAGGAGGCGAAGTTCCAGATGCAGGAAGAGCAGGATACCACGCCACACCCCTTCGACATATTTCAATCGTCTCTCCATTCTTCCTCACTCCTCCTACCTGCGGTGGGTTGAAGGACGAGGGAGGCGGAGGCTAGATGCAGCAAGAGGAGCAGGTCACCCGAGGTTTCGAACGTCTTCTGATGTGCCCTCTGATGTGTTCGACGGTGCAGGCCTGCTCCAGGTTCGGTGATTCGCTCGCTCTCGTGCAGTGTTCTCTTCCTCCTTCCGCCTCCCCCCGTCTCTATCGTGTGCAAGAGGGGTCAAGGCAAGTGCTCGCACATGTTGTAACCCTCCGTGCCGCTTGCTTGGTACGACTTCCGCCCTACATGCTCTTCCCAGTTGCATGGGGTTCGACCGAAGGCGGCTGTGATCGCAGTAACAACGATCCACCACCTACCCCTACCACCGCCCCTTTCGCAGGGTACCTTGCACAGGTGAATCCTTGCACGCTGTGCGTTGCGCAGTGTTCCAGCCATTTTCCTTTCTCCTCCTCCCCCATCCCACCAAGAAAAAGAGAGGACGACCACGAGCAACGTGGCCCCAGGAAGTTTTCAGGTTTACAGGTACGCCTGCGAAGCAGCTGGGGGTGTGGAGGCCCTTCCGGCGACCTGGCAGGACACCGTTTCTTCGGCCACGGCGTGGCGTGTCGCGGTCAGCAAGTCTTGCGATACCACGTGATAGTGGCTATGTGCTCATGTGCGTTTCGTACCCAGCATTTTTGGAGTACGGGATCGTCTACAGAATTGGTTTACCCCAAAATTGATTTTCTCGTCGAGTCATACGTAGGATGTTTGTAGATCTACGGACGTCCTACGCATTTCGCATGGATTCGACGAGAAAATCATGGGGGTAAGTCAATTCTGTAGTCGATTCCCTACTCGGATTTTGCTTGCTTGCTTGCGTCCTCCTCCCTGCCCCCTCCCTCCCTGCCTCCCCCCCGACGGCGCCGGCAGCTGCGACGCTCCCCCCGTGCGCAGGAGCTCCTGCAATTCCACCCGTGGGATCCCCCGCGGGGCGCCCGCCGGGGAGGAAAGGACGAAGGGGGATGGCGAGGAGGGGGGGGGGGAAGGGGACCCAGAGATCCAACTCACCGAAAAAATCAAGACGGAGGTTTTTCGCTAATTTCGGCCCCTAGGGGCCCTCGCCGGGCCTCAGGGCCGTCAAAAAACGACTCGGGATGAAAGACCGGTCCTGGGGAATTGGTCGAGACTTCGGGGGACCCCGTATTGAGAAAATCACGACGTCGGATCTCTCGGGAGGAGGAGAGGACAGGAGAGGGAGGAGAAGGGCGGGAGGGAGGGAGGGAGGGAGAGGGCAGGAGAGGCCGGAGGGGGCCCAAGAGACGACCCGGTGGACTTCTTCGGCTTGTGGAAACTGCGGGACCTGCGACACTTGTGGGATCTGTGAGAGCCGTGGGAACTGGGGGACCTGCGAAGCCTGCGAGACATGTGGAGCCTGTGGGACTTGGGGGACCCCTGTGGGACCTGTGGGGCCTGCGACACTGGGGACCTGCGGGACGACCTGCGACATCTGTAGGTCTCGTGGGAGCTGTGAGACCTGCGACACCAGTGGGACATGTCGGACCTGTTGGACCTGTGAAACCTGCGACACTTGGGGACCTGTCGAACCTGTCAGACCCGTGGTAGCTGTAGGACCTGCGGGACGACCTGCGACATCTGTGGGTCCTGTGGGACCTGTGGGGCCTGCTAGGCCTGCGAGAACTGTGGGGTCCAGACACGTGGCCCACACGGGGGCGAGATCGCCGTCTTGAATGCGCGAGCAACACGCCGATCCGAAATTTCGGCCCACGCTGCACCAGGAACAATATCTCGAAACACGGAGCGTCATATTGCAAACGCACATAGGACAAATAATTTCGGCCCAAGTTTGGTCAATCTAGTTTTGAGTCGGGCATGTCCTCCTACAGGAGGATTTTGGATGAGAAATAAGACACGCCCGAAAAATATTCCCAAATGGTCAAACAATACAGAAAATTGTCCCCATACTATTTTTGAATACTCCTGTAGGACAGGCCCGACTTACATCTAGTTTGTAAAAGCGATTCGCGAAGAGGGCGGACCCTCGCCCCAGAAAGCTTCAGCGGAGGGAGGAGAGTAGTGTCCTGATCGCGTACTTACACAGGAGAGGGAGGAGGGGGGGAGGTAAGACACGAGAGCAAGGGATGAGAGGGAGATGGGGCGAGCACAGGAGGAGGGAGGAGAGGGAGGGATGGCGAGGAGAGATGGGGGAGAGGGCAGGAGAAGGAGGAGGGGGAGGAGGAGGAGGATGAGGAGGAGGAGGAGGAGGAGGAGGAGGAGGAGGGAGGAGGAGAAGGCATGAGAGGAAGGGGGAGGGGGATGACGGAGACAAGAAGGAGGGAGCGAGAACATGAGTGGAGGAGGGAGAGGGGGAGGAGGGAGGAAGGATATGGGGAGGGGGAGGGGTGGCGGAGGAGAGGGGGATGGAGGGACGGAGGGGGAGGACAGGAGTAGAGGGGGAGAAGGGAGGCGGAGGATTTGTCTTGTCCTCAGGACGGCCACCGTGAGTGGGATACGGGGGAGGAGGAGGAGGAGGAGGAGGAGGAGGAGGAGGAGGAGGAGGAGGAGGAGGAGGAGGACGTACGGACCGAGGATCACGATCGTCGTTGGATGGTTGTTGGAATGTGCTGGCGGCCCCACATCGGTGTCACCCGAAGGAGGGGTGCAAAAGGCTTGCCTCCTGAGGTGTTGGCCCCAAAGGGGAAAGAGGGCGCGTTGCTGTGCCGCCTGGGCTTTTCGCCCTAAGAGGAATGGTGTCTACCTGGGTTTCTCACATTGGATGCTTCCCCTTCGACTGCGTTTTCCGTCCCGAAGTCTTGGTCACGGAGCGCTCCGAAGCAGTTCAGGAGGGCTGAGTACAGGAAGGGAGGCAGGGGTGCCTTGGTCGCTGCTCCGGGGGGCGGGCGTAAATAGTGATATACAGGGGCGAGGGGGCGGGGATCTAGTTCCGCAGAGGAGCGCTGCAAGCTACAACAAAAAGCATGTGTGAGTTAGCATAGTCAGGGAGTGGTCGCCGTCCGCCAGCTCGCCGCTGGGGACCAATACGAGCGCGAGGTGCGCCACGGTCCTGGTGTGAGGTTCGCAGTTCGGGAGGATTTGGCAAGTCGAGCCGCGGGGACAGGTCTGGTCCGCCTCCATCCCGGAGAGGGAAGGCAACGGGTTTAGTAAACGTGGAAGTGGAGCAACACTGACAGGGAAAATATCGGATGCGAGGGATGCGGGGTGGACAGGGGCCAGGTCGCATTGCATGTTGGTTTTGAGCAAGGCTCGGGGCGGGGGGGAGGGGGCGAGGACGAGGTGGGGGTGGGCGGTGATCGAGAGTGATGGTTTGGTCCAGGTGTCACAAAGATGTCCGCCTAAAATTCGCCGGGGGCGCTCATATAACCTTTTGGGAAAGTCTCAAAATCGAGAGTGCCCATTCTGACGCCTTCGCTGGCTCTCCCCAGCGATGCTCGTTCCTCGGGCCCGCCCGGCGCCGATTGGGCGACAGGCTCGCGTCCGTATTGGCTGCCCGCAGAAGAGGGCGGCGAGGCCGAACGCGAATTTGTCATTAAGCCGGCCAGCTTCTTCACCGCAGTGCCAGCGTGGACCCTCGAGGCGCGCGTCGGGGGCCCCGGGGAACAGGCGCCGCGAGGGCGAGGCGGCGAGGGGGCTGCAGATTCGGCCTTGTTGTTTTTGATTGTCGTTGACATTTATCCGAACTTCCCCAGCGAACTGTATGCGAACTGATGTGAAACTTTGGACAAACCATTGGTTTCAACTATGAGCCACAATGTCCACGTCACAGCGGTATGCGTCCTCATCCCCACATCGTCGTCACCCCTCCTTCGCCTCCGCCCCCTTCCCCCGACGACGGCGACAACGATGACGACCGCGACGACGCCCACGACGGCGAGACCGAAGGCGCCGACGGCTACCATGGCGGCGAGGACGACGAGGACGACGACGACGCCGAAGACGACGAGAACGACGACGACGACGACGACGACGACGACGACGACGACGACGACGACGACGACGACGACGACGACGACGGTTTTGAAGACGACCACGACGACGACGATGCCGACAACGACGACGGCGACGACGGCGGCGACGGCGGTGGCGGCGGTGGCGGCGGCTGCGGCCAGGACCGCCGTCTTTACAGCGGCCCGACCACGGGTTTCGACGAGGCGCTTGGGGGATGGTCGGGCCGAGGCGGCGGCGGGGAGGGGCGAGAGCGAGCGAGCGGGCTGCGAGGTTCGAGGTGCAACGTGCTCGGATGTCTGCGTCGGTCCTCCGCTGTTCTCCAGCGCAGGGATGCCCGCCAGCATCTGGACCTCGCCGACCGCGTTCTGGGGGTGCCCGGATCGTCCCGAGCGGCCGCTGGAGAGCCGAGCTGTGGCCCGAGAGGCAAGGGCACGACTCGAGCAGGGACGGGGGGCGTGATGCGGTCTCACTGGTCTTCAGCCAACCGTTTGGGTGATTGGTTCGTAGATGTTCAGGAGGCTGACGGGCCTCTTGGGGGCCTCTTCGGGCCGCCTGGGAGTTTCGTGGGTGCCTGGTTGCGCGGGTCCTGGGGCGGAGGGCTCGGATTGCCAGGTTGAAATTGCCTCTCTTGGGCCCCTCTTGGGGGCCTGTTGGAGCTTTCTTGGGCCCTCTTGGGTGTCTCTTGGGCCATCTTGGGACCCTCTTCGGCCATCGTGGGGCCCTCTTCAGGGCTTCGTGGGCAGTCTTGGAGCGATCTTGGGGGCCTCTTGAGCCGTCTTGGACGCTTTTACGACACAGTTTCTGCGAATATGCTCAACACATGCGTTTTCTCTCATAGATTTTAACGACTGTGGCGTATTGGGATACTCTCGGGGTATCGTCTTGGAGCCCTCTTGGGGAGTCTTTGAGGCCTCTTGGGCAGTCTTGAGGCCATCGTGGTGGCCTTCGAAGACGCTTCGCCCGAACGGCCGCTGGAGTGCCGAGCTATGGCCCGAAACGCAAGGGCACGACTTAAAAAGGGACTAGGGGCGAGAGGCGCTTTCACTGGTGTTAGCCTTATGGTTTATTTGTTGGTAGGCTTCGGCCTCTGGAGCCCGTTGTCTGGCCATGCATGGGACCATGAAAGATTGACCCGGGGCGAAAAATTGACCCCAGGAAGGGGGTCGGGAGCTGGGACTGCGGATTGACGGCGGATGTCTGGAACCTTTCCATTGCTTCGTCCAGTGTGGGCCTTCTGGAAGGTCCGTTTCCCCACGTGTTCTTGTCAGAACCCACCCAGGGAGAGGTCTGGGGAGCATCGGTATTGAGTACCTTTTAGTTTTCCCAGAATAGGGGGCAACGTTAGGGGGGATCTGCGCAGGTCAGTCAGGCCTAGCATCGGGATAGATCGCTCCAGAGGAACACGCTCAGATTGTTCTGGAACTCTTTGGACTGGCCGCGGCGCCGGATGCCTCCTCCAGAAACAGCAGATCTCCAAGGTCCCATATGTATCCCGATCCGATCCTGTCCTGCTCCTGGTTTCGATTTATCAGATGGGGTGTATTAGCCTCCTCCTCCCGACTGGCTCTCCCCACGAATACTGGGCCCAAACGAGCGTTTCGGGGACGACGGTCGGCCACTACTAAATGTGTGGGGTTACGACTGGGTGTGGTTTGCGATCTGCATCGTTGGGGCTTGAGGAGCACGAAGTTGCCCTCGTCGGGCCTCCGCGGATTTGTCGAGGTCCTCGCCCGCTCACCTTTTGCACACCACATCCCTCGGAGTCACCGACACGCTACAGGGGGGGCGAACGGCTTCGAGGTTCAAGATTTTCGGCCGCGCTTGAGGCCCAGGGGACGGCCACAGGTGTTCGAAAGTTTTCCTCATTCACGGGTTCGACAATCGAGGAAGCGCAAACATGGAGCAAGGCGCGTGGATTAGTGACTGGTCCCTTTCCCATCATTGCCAAGTCGGCGCGCTCCTTGGCCAGATCGGGCGACATTGGCGCCATGTTTTGGGGGGTTACGTTCCACGATCCGTGGATTTGGTACCCACGCGCCAAATCCCACAGATCCGCAATCCACGTTACCGTGTGCCCGAGAGAACGGGGGCCCGGGCCCCAGGGATAGGCATGGGCTGCCAGGCTGAACTTGATTTGGTCAGGGCCTCCCCCATGTCTCAGGGCCCCATCTTCGAAGTGCCGATCGATACTTCTCGTCATCTCGAACGCCGGGGGCCTTCCATCGGCTCCGCCTCGTCGACGGCTTTCTGAGGGGCCCCGAATCGTCCCGAGCGGCCACTCGGGGCCCGAGCTGTGGCGTCGATGCGCAGTGCCCCACCACCGCGCCCGGTCCCCAGGATTGCGAATGTGACCAGTTACCCGACTGCAGGGTCCGGCTTGACTAAGGAACACTTACTTCTCAAAAGGGGCTCGGTCGTTCTTGTGGTTTGCGTGCGTTCCGCTACCTTTTTGGCGGCGAGCCCCCCCTGGTGTTACTTCGTAGATGTCTTGGAAAAAGGGGCTCCGTTCCCCACTTGTAGTTCTTTAGGTCAGGCCGAATGCTGTATCGAACTTGTGTAATCTCGGCCTCACGTGTGTCCAGTGCTGCTGACCTTGGCTCCTCGGCGCTGCCGGCTGGAGACCAGCGCGCCGCCACGCAGGGCCTTGCAGACGATGGTTAAGTCGGGCCTGTCCCTCTACAGGAGGAATGTTCCAAAATAGTCAAAACATAGTGTGGGGACGTTCTTTTTAATAGTATGTTTGACCATTTTTGAGCATCTGTTGACTGTGTTTCATTTTTCGTCCAAGATCCGCCTGTAGGGGGGCAGGCCCGACCTAAGACTATGGCTCTCCGGAGAAGAGGGGAGAGGAAAGGAAACGCAAGCAGACGACGACGAGCAAACATGCGTTGTTCTGCGGGTTCGGCTTCTGGGGCTCCACATCGGCCCCCTGGAGCATCAGAAACGGATCAGGGATGGACAACATTTCCCCTGGGATTAAGTCGGGCCTCTCCCCCTACAGGGGGATTTTCGACGAAAAATAAAACAGATCCCAAAAATGATTAAAACATAGTCTGGGGACTATTTTTTGACTATTGTTTGGCCTTTTGGGTGAATTTTTAGGGTATTTTCTTGTTTGTCGTCGAAAATCCCCCAGTAGGGGGACACGCCTGACATAACCCTGGGAAAGGGGTCGGGAGTTCTGCATCGAGAAGCCATATGCGGGCAATCTCTATATCAATATCCACTGCGCCTTGAACTTTCTGGGAGGGCCGAAAGCCCAGGCACAGCAGATAGACAGCAGATAGGGATAAACATCCAGCCTCTGAAGGGAGGCCCAGAATCCAAAACGCAGTGAATCCGAATACAGTCGGCGGCGAGCAAGGGGGCGAAGTGATGTTGGGATCCTTTTGGAGTCATACTGTATTGGAATCCGATTGGAATCCTGATGGAATTCCCGCAGGAGGTACGACCACCCTTCGAGAGATCAGGAGGTTGTGTGCGTGGTGAAGGGGGGGAGGAAGGGGGGACCAACTGGAGCTACAACATAGCATTGCATTGCATAGCAGAGCATAGCATCGCATAGCATCGCACAACACAGTATAGAAGAGCATAGCGTAGCATAGCATAACATCGCATAACATCGTGTAGCATCGCATCGCATATAATAGCATACCTATACGACCACCCTTCGGGTGATAAGGAGGTTGTGTGGGGGGGAGAGGGGGGGGAATCAGCATCTGACTCAATCGATCTCACTATCGATCACACTCAACTGGACACCACGGGACACTTGTCGATCTCAATATCGATCTCACTATCGATCTCACTCAACGGGAGACCACGGGACACCGCGGGACACCTCTCGATCTCATTATCGACTCCACTATCGATCTCACTCAACGTGACACCTAAGGACACCACGGGACACCTCGGGGCACCACATCAATCTCACTATCAATCTCACTATCGATCTCGGTATCGATCTCACTCAACGGGACATCACGGGACATCACGTGACACTTGTCGATCTTGTTATCGATCTCATTGTCGACCTCACTTTTTGGGACACCACGGGACACTTGTCGATCTCACTATCGATCTCATTATCGATCTCACTCAACGGGACACGCGTCAAACTATGTACGTGAACATGGCCCCTCGATCCGCGAGACTGGCCGCGTGATACCAAAATTCGCGCAATGCGTGTTCTCGAAATCAGCGCGGATTCATGTACGTGTATGTCCTTCTTTTGCTCCTGAAAAGGTGGGGAGGGGGCCAAGGTGGGGTTGGAAGGAAAGTCGCTCCGAACGGCCCCTGGAGTGAGTGAACGCATTCAACCGGAGCATCCAGCTGGGCCCGTTCCGCAGCCCCACCGTGGGATAACCCTCCCTTTACGAGCCCCCGACGAAGGCAGAGAAAACTCCTCCGGAGCCCAGAGGGCCTCTGAAAAGCCCCGACGGGACACCACGGGACACCACGGGACCCCGCGGGACACTTCTCGATCTCACTAACGGTCTCATTATTGATCTCACTACCGATCTCACTCAACGGGACACCATGGGACACTACGAGACACCTCGGGGCACCACATCGATCTCACTATCGATCTCACTCAACGGGACACCACGGGACACCTGTCGATCTCATTATCGATCTCATTATCGAATTCACTGTTTGGGACACCACGCGACACCTCGGGGCACCACATCGATCTCATTATCGATCTCACTTTCTGGGACACCACGGGACACCACATCGATCTCATTATCGGTCTCACTATCGATCTCACTATCGATCTCACTCAACGGGACACCACGGGACATCGCGGGACACCGCCCGAACGACGGACGGACGGGCGGGCGGGGGAGAATCATTTGTCTTGACTTCGCCCTAGCAACGGCGGACACCACGGGACACCGCGGGACACCGCGATCCACCGCAGGATGGGCGGGATAGGGAGAATTATTTGTTTTGATTTCGCACTGGCAACGGCGGACACCACGGGACACCACCGGACACCGCGGGACACCGCGGTGTCCACCATTGGACGGGCGGGAGGGGGAGAATCATTTGTCGTGACTTCGCCCTAGCAACGGCGGGTCCATTCCTCTCGCGCGCGCACGCAGCTTCGCCTCGCCCGCACGAACGAAACGAAACGATTTCCCGGTTGGGGGTCTCCGTTCCATTGCGATCTCACCCCCCAATCTACGACCATCACATATGGCACAGCATCGCATCGCATAGCATAGTATCGCATCGCATCACGTCACATAGCTTAGCATCGCATTGATTTTAGCATCGCATACCATGGCATTGTACAGCATCGCATATAATAGAATACCACAGCATCGCATAGCACCAGACACGACGGGACACCGCGGGACACCCCCAGGCCGCCGCCGCCGGCCAACCAGGGGGGACACAACGGGACACTGCGGGACACCCCCTGGCCACCGCTGGCCAACCCGGGGGCGCAGCAAAATTTAGCCCGGTTTTGCCCTAAGCACGGCGGGTTCATTCCTCTCGCCCGCTGACGCAGCTTCGCCTCGCCCACACGCACGACACGAACACGAAACCGAAAACGATTTCTTGGCGGGGGGGATCTCTTGTTCACCTCTATCTCTTTCCCAACCTCGGATTATATCTGCTTGCTGCGGAGACGATCGTTTGTTTTGCTCCGCCTGGCCCTTCCTTCCCCCCTCCTATGGACCGAAGACGGCCCAAGAAGACCCCCCAAACGGGGTTTCGCTGGAACGTCCAGCGCCTGTTTCCCCCACTTCTCCCCCGTTCCTTCCTCTTCTTCCCGACTTACTCCTCTCACATACCTCCTCCCTCCTCCAGTTCCTCCTCCTTCTCGCGTTACTTGCTTTTCCCATGGGGAATACGCAATCTCGTGCTCTTCTCCTTCGGATGGCGTCGGGAGAGCTTCACATGGCCCCGAGGCTCGAGACGGCTCCACAACTTCGAAGAAGAACCCAAGAGGGCCCCAAGCGGGCCCCAAGGCCTTCCAGGCAGCCCGAACAGGAAGATCCCCTAAGAGACCCCTACACTCCAAGCCATTCCACTTCTTATTCAAAATCTCCCCACGCCGGCCCTGAACAGCTCGAAGTCCCCGCAGAAACTCAAGCAAGAGGAGGCCGTCCACAGAACGAGGAACGAAAAGCGAGGACAACCGAGAGAGACTGAATGGTTAGCGAAGAAGGACGTGTGAGGAATATTAGAGGACGAAGGGGCAAGGCATGGAATGAGCCAGTCCGACAAACTCACATCTAACAACGTCATGGCATACGCTAGAAGCGAAGCGCGCGCGAAGCGCGCGCGCACCGGTTCTAGTATGTATGTAAGGATGGATGCATGCATGTACGCATGTTTGTATTCGTGCGTCCGTTTGTACGGCTTTACGTGTGTATGTTTGTGTGCATGTATAGACGTGTATATATGGATGTTTGTATACATGTATGCATGCGTGTATGTATGTTTGTACGTATGTTTACATGTGTGTATGCATGTATGTATGTATGTATGCATGTATGCATGTATGTATGTATGTATGTATGTATGTATGTATGTATAAGTGTATGTATATAGTCGTGCATGCATGTATGTTGGTATGCATGTGTGTATGCATGTATGGATGTATGTTTGCATGCCTGCATGCACGAATGAAATTAGGTATGCATATGGGCATGTATGTATGTATGTCGGTATGAGTGTGTGTACGTATGTATGTATGGATGTTTGTATGTATGTTTGCATGTGTATCAATTTGTGAGTGTGTGTGTATTTGTGTATGTTTGTATACATAGATGTTTGCATGTCTGTATGCACGTGTGTATGCATGTATGTATGTATGTATGTATGTGTGGATGTAGGGACGTGTATGTACTAGTTGTTATGTAAACATGTGTGTTATATGTATGTATGAATGTATGTGTGTATGAATGCATGCGTGTAGCTGTGCATGTACACATGTGTGCCTACATGCATGGATGTACGTAATTACGTATGTATGTATGTCTATAAGTATGTATGTTTGCCTGTATGTATGTGTGTCTGTATGTGTATGTATGCAGGTATGCCTGTATGCACGCATGTGTGTATGTATGCATGCATGGATGCATGTATTTATGTCTCGACTTGGGGCGAGCTTGGCTGTTGTTCACTGTTTGGATTGTTGTTCACTGTTTGGGCTGTGTGTTCACTGGGTCTGTTTGGGCTTTTGTTAGCTTTCTGGGCTGTTGTTCACTGTTTGGACTGTTGTTCGCTGTTTGGGCTGTATGTCGGTCTGTCTCGGTGTCTCTTGTTCACTGTTTAGACTGTTTGTTGGTTGCTTTTTGTCCCTCCTCAGTGCCTGTGCTTGGCCAGGGCATTCCATTTGTTGGTCGGAAGTGGCCCATCATCGGTTCTAGAGAGGGGGGCGGCGGTCTTCAAGGGGGGCGTGCGATGACGGGATATGGCCGTTGCCCGCACCATCCCTCCTCCCCGGCCGCGACGTACATGTGTCATTCCCTCTCCTCCTCGTTTTCCCTTCTTGTTCCCTCCACACTCTCCCTCTTTGTCCTCCTCCTTCTCCGACAACGGCGACGGAAACGATGACGGCGCGCCGGGATGGTTGGCCGTCGTCATCCTCCTCATCGTCGCCGTGGGCATCGTCGTGCGCGTATTGCGCAGAAGCGGAAGGGGAGTCCACGCCGTACTCCACGTTCAGCTGCTGGTGAGAGATGCCAGGGCTCGCCTTTGGGATTGGATCGGTTCGGATGGGGGGAGGGCGAAGAATGATGACAACGCGGAAACGGAGGAAATGAGACATTAAGTGATGAGTGGTTGTGGTCGGTATGTTGATGATGATGTTGATGAGGATGTTGATAATGGGGTTGTTGCCGATGATGATGGTGATGATGATGATAATGATGATGATGATGATGACGAGGATGCTGCTGATGATGAGGAGGATGAGGATGAGGATGAAGATGATGCTGATGCTACTGATGCTGAAGAAGTTGTTGATGATGATGATGATGATGATGATGATGATGATGATGATGATGATGATGATGATGATGATAATGGTGCTGGTGCTGATGCTGATGTTGCTGATGGTGATGCTGACGATGCTGTTGTTGTTGTCGACGATGATGATGATGAGGAGGAGGAGGATAAGCATGATGCGGATGCTGATGCTGTTGATGATGATGGTGGTGATGATTAATATGATGATGCTGATGATGCTGATGATGATACTGCTGATGATGCTGATGTTGATGACGACGTTGATGATGAAGATGGTGATGCTGCTGGTGATGTTGGCGATGATGCTGATGGTGATGGTGATGGTGACGATGGTGATGGTGATGATACTGGTGATGATGGTGGTGACGATGATGCTGATGATGATGCTGACTATGATGAGGAAGATGATGATGATGCTGATGATGATGATGATGCTGATGCTGACGCTGATGGTGGTGGTGGTGATGGTGATAGTGATGATGATGATGATGATGATGATGATGATGATGATGATGACGATACTGATGATGAAGATGCTGGTGATGCTGACGATGATTATGATGATGATGATGATGATGATGATGATGATGGTGATGATGATGGTGATGGTGATGGTGATGGTGATGATGGTTATGGTGGTGGTGGTGATTATGGTGATGATGATGCTGACGATGCTGATGATGTTGATGCTGGTGATGATGACGATGATGATGATGATGATGATGATGATTCTGGTGGTGGCGATGGTGATGGTGATGGTGGTGATGATGATAATGATGATAATGATGATGATGATGATGATTATGATTATGATGATGATGATGATGATGATGATGATGATGATGATGATGATGATGATGATGATGATGATGATGATGATGATGATGATGATGATGATGATGATGATGATGATGATGATGGTGGCGGGGAGGAGCAGGAAGACGAAGAGGACGCGAGGAACACAACCAAAACCAACAGCGAAAAAAGGGGGAGGAGGCGACGGTGGAGGAGGAGCAGGAGGAGGAGGAGGAGAGCAACGATTATGCAGCTCGAGGTGGCCCGACCGGTCCGGGCTCCCCTCGGACTCGGGATCCTGCGGGGCGGCGCAGGAGCAGGAGGAGGGAGGGGAAGGACTGGACTGGAGCAATCGCGAAGCGATGGGAAACGTCACGCTGACCTTCTCCGAGCCCGCGGCGAAAAGGCAGGACTCGACGACGAACTTTGGATCAATTCCACCCACCTCGCCAGATAAAGCGTGTGGCCCTCACCGCGAGTCGAGGTGACAAAGAGCCACGCGGCGGCGCCGACATGCGAACCACAACACATGCAAAACGAGATGCGCATAATACCACTTGTTAGGGAAAACCATTTGTCCAAGCACAACCATCCATTGAAGTACACACAGGCGGGAGGCGTTGGGTCAGTGCATGTAGGTTCCCACTGTCCCTCCCGCCTTGGATGTATAACGAAGAGACCGAGCAGGAACGTAATAACCTGAAGTGTATGCACAGCTTGCTGAAGGGCAGCACTGCGCAGCAACTCCAGAGGAAGAACCAGCTTTTGGTACTCCGCCTCGCCCCTGCAGTCACAAATAGCGTGAAGACCGCGGGCGCGAACAGGTACACCCAGGCGGGAGGCGTTGGGTCAGTGCGCAACGGCTCCCACTGTCCCTGCCGCCTGGGATGGATGTCGAAGAGAAGGTGCAGGAAAGAAACCCAGAATACTATGCCCAGCAAAACATAAGAAAATGCTGTGCGGCTGCTCCCAGAAAGGACCATGCCAATCATCGATCGAAGCTTGCTCCGTTTAGCCACTGGGATAGCTGCCAAAATCGTAGAGATTGACACAAGTTCAGCTGAAGTGAAATCGGCTCGATGCGGCCTTTTTTCAATGATGTGCAAACGCCACTGGTCACCGGGTAGCCCCCAAGAGGTATCGCCTCATCGACAGACGGTCCCACAATACCAGTACAAAGGCGAATTGATGCTACCCAGCGCCCCTCAAGCGCCAACGTGGAGGCACGGAGCTATGAGTCCCATGGCAAGTGTGGGCCCAAATGGTTACGACACGCGCCTGAGCACCCCGTGCTTGAGGGAGGGAGGAGAAGGAAGAGGAGGAGGAGAAGGAGGAGGAGGAGGAGGAGGAGGAGGCACTGGGGAGGGGGGGAGGCTCCTCCCTCCTCCTCCTCCTCCCCCTTCCCCTCCCCCTCCTCCTCCCTCCTCCTCCTCCTCCTCCTCCTCCTCCGCCTCCTCCTCCTCCTCCTCTCCTCCTCCTCCTCCTCCTCCTCCTCCTCCTCTCCTCCTCCTCCTCCTCCCGCCTCCTCCTACCCCTTCCCCCCTCCATCCGCGACCCCCTCGCCCTCCTCGCCCCCTCCCGCGTCCCCCCCCTCCCCCTGGCCTTCCTTGGTGTCCCCCTCCTCCCCCCCTTCTCCCCGCGCCCCCCCCCTCCTTCCCCCCTCCTGGCCCCCCCTCCCTTGGTGTCGGAGCCAGGCCCCCCCCCCGCGCGCCCTGCGCGTGCCGCCCGCGCGCACGCGCGCGGGGCGCCCTACCCCCTGCTGCGGCGGCCGCCCGCTCGCGAGAAAGCCCGCGCGCGGGGGCGGCGGGGGGTAGGAGGATATGCGAGGAGGCATGGGGGCAGGAGGAGGAGGAGGAGGAAGAGGAGGAGGAGGAGGAGGCAGGAGGCAGGATGAGGATAAGGACGAGGCAGCAGGAGGAGGAGGAGGAGGAGGAGGAGGAGGCGGCAGGAGGAAGAGGAGGAGGAGGGAGCAGGGGGAGCCTGAGGAGGAAGCAGGAGGGATGAGCATCGGCGAGGAGCAGCGGCCTGCCGCCGCGAGAATGCCTTGCGCGCGCGGCGGTGACGGTGGCGGCGGCGAGGAGGAGGAGGAGGAGGAGAGCGGTTTCCGAGGAGCTGCTCCCTCATGGACCGTGCGGTTGCCTTTTAGGTCGCCGTTCGCCGCCGCTCTCGCGTCTGGGCCCCTAATCCTGTGTGCATGTTAGTGGGGTAGCACCCGAGGCGCTCTAGAGCTAGCGAGGGGGAGGAAGAGGGAGCAGGGAGGATGGAGCAGGGAGGGCGACGCGGGAGGGAGCAGCACCTGCGAGGAGGAGACGCTCACTTGCTTTACCCCCTGCCCCCCCCCAAAAAAAAGGGACGCCCCACCTGACGAGGGCTCGACGTCGTCGTGCCGGGGGGATTTTTTGGCTCTAGCGCGAACCCTCCCGTGCCCCACGACGGCAGGGCGGGTGCGGGAGCTCAAGCCCGACGGCCCCGGCAGCACGTGGGGGCCCCCGACGGCCTCCTTCCGCGGACGACTCGTGCTCACCGTGCCGCGGTGGCGTGGCGTCTCTTACCAGCCTGGAACATATCCCTATCCCTATGCTGGTCATCTCCTCATCACGATGCCAATCTTAGGGGTTCCCTTTTATTTTTTGAGGGCGAATCCCTAAGACTGTCATCGCCTTTTGGCGTGTCAATATTAGGGATAAGGGGTAAGTTCGAGGCTGGTAAGTCTCCCGAGGCGTCGTCGATCCGTCGATCATCGGCCGAATATTGCTACGGTGCATGGCTTGTTTTGCCCCCAAGAGCCGAGGAGCTCTGCACCGTACAGTCAAGGCGCTGAAATTAGGAACAGTTTGGCTTCGGAAGGGGCTCGATGTTCCCCAGGTTCCTCCAGTGCTGTCCCTCTCGCCCTCCTCGGGCACGGAGGCGGGCCAAAAAGGGGCTTCGTTCCTTATTTAGCGTTCCTTCTTTGAGCGGCCCGACTTTGCGGCGTTTGAGCGGGGCATGAGCGCCTGCCTTGCACTGCTTCCTTCAGAATGGCAACCGCTTATCGCCCAGTGGCAGCCATGATTTCAGAACTCCGACGGCGGTGTGGTTTGCTTTCAACTGGGCGTGGCTCCTCGATCTCGGCTTCCAGGGCGCGCGCTAATAGGGAGCGGATCCGGGGCGCAACGTTACGGGTGTCTCGTCGACCAGTGGCGACCCCGCCGCCGGCGGTCAGCGTTGAACGCCGTTTGCGACCCAGAATCGGTCGATGCTGAACGATCGGACGTTTCGGAAACGGCCGATTGCTCAAGGTTGAGCTATGCCTGCGGTGTCAGGGGCCTGCGCCGAAGTCAGCACGGCACGAATCTGCTGTACCCTCCAGGAAGCGGTCAGGACCTCTAGGGCCGCGGATTGAAGGCATCAAATCGGCGCGTGTCAAGGACAGGAGCCCACCGCGGGCCCGACATTGATCGCCGATAAGAGGTCTGATTGCCCAGCCCCGCCCACGAAGGTGCGGAGTCGCTATCGGGGGGCCTATCGCCGATCCATCGGCGATGTGTCGCCGATTCCAGGTCGACGCTTCCCCCCCTATGCCTGTGCCCCCCTATCGTTGCCCCTCACCACAGGCCTGTCCGAGATCGTCCCTGCCCCGGCATCGTCCTGGCGGGCGCTCCCTCGGCCGAGGCCTCCCCGCAGCTTCCTCTGAGAGGCCCTGCGGCAGGGGAGGCTTGCTCCAAGGTCGGGGGGGCCCAGTCGAGGGCCCAGGGACCCAGGGGCCCACAAGGGACCTGCTCCTCCCCCTCCTCCTCCTTCTCCTCCTGCTCCTCCTCCTCCTCCTCCTCCTCCTCCACCTGCTCCTGCTCCTGCTACTCCTCCTCCTGCTCCTCCTGCTCCTCCTCCTCCTCCTCCTCCTCCTCCTCCTCCTCCTCCTCCTCCTCCTCCTCCTCCTCCTCCTCCTCCGCTCGGAGGTGCCCATGTTTGTTTCAGCGAGGACCCTCGAGGAACATCAATGCAAAAGCAGGCACAAAGCACGGCACCGAAGGATGCCAAAAAAGGGAGCGGACGCCCGAGCGATGGCAAGATCGAGGGGATCCAGGGCCCGAGGGCCCGGGGCGAGGCGCCCGCCCGCGGCGGCGGAGGCCGGAGCCCGTGCAGCGCCGCGGCGGGGAGGCAGGGCCGAGGGCGCCCGAGCTCGGCTCAGCCAGCGCCTCCTTCTCCTCCTCCTCCTCCTCCTCCTCCTCCTCCTCCTCCTCCTCCTCCTCCCCTTCCCCCTCCCCCTCCTCCTCCTGCCCTCAGACGGGCCAAAAAGAGGACATGAGACTGATGCGTTCTCCAGGATTTCCAGTCAGGGGGGCTCAGCTCAGCGCCGATAGGGGCGAATACAGTCAACCATGATAGTAAGAATGGGGCAGCTTTCCAAGGCTACCCTTGCATCCTTGCCCCTTGGGTATTCGGCATCCTTCGGCATTCTGCTGCGCGCCGCACGGAAAACGTCAACATGGCGTTCCAAGGGCCCTTGCGTCCTTACCACGCATCCTTTATTATCCTGGTCGAGTGTAGTCCAGGGGAGAGCAATACATGTATTCGTGTACGCCGATGATCGATGTCTTCGAAGAGGCTCCCGGGCAAATACGTGTAATGCCCGACCCTGGGCTATTCGCCCCTATCGTCGCTGTCGACTCTTGTTCGGGCCCGCGCTGGGTTTTGACGGTCCAGGTGTCGTGGCAGGTCTGCAGCGGGCGCTCGCAGCAGCTTTGGGGTTTCGAGTCTCGTCATGTGCCTGGCGGCCCCGTCGGGCCAACCCGAGTCCCCCGAGCCCGAGTGTTGCATTTTTCCGACTGCGGGCTCTCTGGCCGTTGTTGCCAGCAGGCCCCCTTTGCAGAAGAAGACGAAGAAAAAAATACGAGGCCAAAGAATACACCACCACCACCTCCCTCACCCCTCCCTTTCCCATGAAAGCGGAGGGGAAGAGGAAAGTAGAGGAGGGAAGAGGAATGGAGGTGGTGGTTGTGGTGGTGTGTATTAGTGGGGCCCGCAGAAACATAACAAGAGAAGAAGAAGAATAGCAAGAAGACGAACAACAAGGAGAAAAAGGGGAGCCGGCTCAGACATGAACCGTCGAAGTTTCCGCGCGGCTGTGGCGCGACGGCGGGGATCCTCTACAGTCAATGCAGGGCGCTGGCCATTGTGATCCTGCCGCCCCTTTTCTTTTTCGAAGAAGAGGTAGAACAATCGGAACCATCGGTTCGGACACGAGCTGTCGAAGCTTCCGCGCGGCTGCGACGTCGCGGCGGGGACCCTCCGCAGCCATTTTAGGGCTCTGGCCATTTTTTCGGGCCGCCCGCCCCCTCGAGGAAGACGAACCGGCTCAGGCATCGCACCCGTCGGAGCCTCCGCGCGGAGTCTCGGCGTCGGCACGGGGCCCCCTCGGGGCGGCGGTGCCCGCGGTGCCGCCCCATTGCAGGCGCCCCGCGCGCCGGGGCGAGGCGCCGACGCGAGGGCTCCGCACGTGGGCCCTCGCGAGAGAGGGCGCGCCTGTGCCGGCTCGGCTTCCTTCGCCGGCCCAGGCATCCGACGAGGTGTGTTTCTTTTGTCCAGTGCCCGCGGCCCCAGTTCGACCTGGGGCGGATGCGCGCGCGCGCTCCGCGCGCCAGGGTTGGCGCTCGAGCCGCCTCCAGGGGGCTCCAGCGCCGTTCCGAGAACTCCGCGCGGAGCCCCCACAGTCTGTCTATGCAATTTTTTTGTCCCCGAACTTGACGACCTACCAAACAACCCAACCCGAAGGCCTCAAGTTGCCCTCCATTTCCAGTGGGGGGGGGGCGGGGAACATTGAAGAAACACGTGGGACCCGTACCCCCCTAACCCGA